AACAGTGGTAATGTTTATGCTTGTTTGGAAAAACTCTCCGATATTGCCAGTGTTGCCGAAAATCTTTCTAATTTTTCAGTTTTTCCAGCCGGGTACTTCCCTGCCTGTGGTACTTCTGTGAAAGATCTGCCTCTCTTTTTGTCTTGTGGCGCTTTTCTAGAAAGTTTAACTGGTGCGCTTTTTATTTTGAGAAGTAACGGAAATGAAGATGGGGAAAAGATTGGCGCGAAGGGAAGAAATGTGAGGAAGAAATTGATAATACCTGGAATCATTAGGAGAATGTTTAAACTTTAGCTTCCAGAGCGCGCATTATTTTCCCGCAAAATTGTTGTCGCACAAGAAAACTTTTACGTAAGCGGCAGTTTAAAATAATGAAGTTTTAGTCGTTTTGAATTCAAATTGCGTCTCGTGATTCGAGCAGTTTTTATGGTTTAATACTCCATGTTTTTTGCTTTTTTTGTTCTCATATTGACTGTGATCGTCATGTGATAGCATCGATTGTGACCAGGATTGCAGGAACTTTTGAAATTTCTAATTTTACAATTAGACTTTCAGTTTACATTATAAGGGCTTTCGCTTAAATTCAGGAGACAAAAAAAAGCGCCAGAAAATTGTTTTTAATATATCTAGGGATTTCCAATCTAGAGTGAAACTCAGTTGTAAAAGACCAACGTTTTTTTAGGTGAAAACCAGTGAAAATCACGTTTTCATTTAAATATTTATACATGTATATGTGTAACACTTTACTTGTGGGAGTGCACTGTTTAAGTTATTGGCAAGGCTGATTGCTGAGATTTATTCAGGATTTGCCTTCACAAAAAGCAAAAATAAATTATTACTTAATTGATTCATTCGCTAATCATGGATATAAATAATGATCGGCATGGGTAATTACTATGATTTCGTCTAATACCGCTTTCTGTGTTGATCTAAGAAACTGAGGTCCAAAGTCACACAGGCCTATAGCATTCGAAACAAGCGGCTCACAGGCCTAGGGCTCCGGAAACCTCAACTTTTTGGTACCGTGGAAGGCCAGAGAGAATAAAATTATCTACCAGTTCTTTTCAAATTTTGGCCCCGGAAAGGGCATATCCTAATTCAAGCGATATGTTGTAACTCACGTATTAATGGAAGTGCAAGTTTAAAATCCTGCAGACTCTTTTAAAGGCCACTTACAGGGCTAAAAAAAGTAAAATCACTTTTCAATCACGATCTGGAAATTTCAGGTCCCGATGCATGTAAATCATTTTATGACTGCGAAAATAATTGTAAGCTAGAAACGTCTGGAATGCGTCTCGCGGTCACTTTCAACCTCAAAAATGAACTCATTTCTCAGATGATTCTTCCTGGAGACGAAAGGCATACCTGGATCCTAATTTCTTAAGTTTTCTAATTTCATCAGTTCATGACCGTTCTGATCAGTGCTGCATCACCGGCGATACAGCACTGATCAGAACGGTTATGAACTGAAGGGAGACGATGGTGTGCTTTTTCGCTTTGCCATTAAAGAGTGTAATGAATACGAAACAATGATAAACTAGTAGCCGTTTCAAATATCAGGTTAAGCTTGTTCACATCATAGGCAGATCCAGAGGGAGAGGACAGGAGGGAGGGGGCGGGAAGGGTCTTTCGCTTTTTAAAGCTAAAAACTAAAGTAAACCGGAGCCTAAAGCTAGAAGCTAACTAATACTCTAAGTAGCAGTGTTACAACTTTCTTCCTAGTTTTTGAATAGTTCGAGGGCTGAAAGGGATCTCTTCCCCACCCTCTGTCCTTCCTCCCTCCCCCTCCCCCCGTCCTTCTCCTTTCCCCTCCCCCTCCTCTCCGGTCCTCACCCCTCCCCCCCCCATCTCGTTAGGAGTCCGTCCTGGATCCATTTACGGTCCACGTTCTTTAACTCTAATTTTATTCGAGTACTGGGGTTCAAGTCTGGCAAAAAAAGGCAATTTTTAATTGTATTTACATATTTTTAAAAAAAATACACAACTCAGGGTCGAAGGTCCCTACACGGCTGTTACTCTGGCTTGCTGAAATATTCCGGTAAAATCATTAAGACAGGACCTCCCCCCCTCCCCTCCCACACACACACACACACACACACACACACACCGACTGTTTGAATGGTTTTTGCTATTTATGGCACAGAAAAAAATTACTGCCGCTGGGCGTACATTTGCTTGTGGAAGTAAACATACATGCAAGCAAATGATGCCTCCGGTGCAGGTAATAAAAACATAAAAACGCCTTGAAAAAGTGCTTTTTGATAAATAATCTGTTAGTACACATTGATAAGAAGTTCATACTTCTGCGATACACACTATTAATGACGTAGAAGTAGTAATCTGGTTTACAAAATATGTATGTTCACCTTTTCCGAGTCAGCCGATCGAACATCTATTTCCTGGTGGGTACCATTCACTAATGCGAGACATCCGCTGGTTATCATTATGCCCTGCTTTATGTAAAAATTTTTTTTACATTAAAATCGAAAGGACATTCCGCACGTCGCTCATCTGATGAAGAGTCTGACTGCTTAAATATTCGCGAAAAGAAACGTCAATTATTATCTTTTCGGCAGTTATTACTTAGCAATAGACTAAAATTTCAAACAAGCGATTTCCTGGCTTATTTACAACATTCCGGAAAATTTACCCATGTTTTCAACCAGTGCTAATTGCGAAAAAAGACTCAGAGAATAAATGCAAATGTTTATTTTGAGCAAATTTGGAGCTGTTTTTGTAGAGGTTCTTCAAGCGGGCGGTAAACACTGGTGGCAGTCCTGTTTCTCCGGATTATAGCCCTCAATTTGCACAGTGCTCTCTCGAACACTGTATCTGTCGCGGAGCATTTTGGTTGTTTGCTTTAAAATTCGCTGTGCGTTTGCACCGGGTATTATTTCCAGATGTACACTGATTGCTATTTTGTTTAGTGTCAGTGACCAGATCCGTAGATTGTGCACCTTTTGGACACCATCAATTTGCTCCAAAGAGTCGAACACTGATCGAAAATTGATACTGGTCGGTGACCCTAAAATATAAACTTACATCCGGCAGGTATTGTGACAAGCGAATGCTGGTCGCATTGCCCATGTTTTTACAGCTAAGGGATGAAACAGGGGGCGGTGGCGGGAGGGGGGAGAGAAGGAATTGGTTCGCTATATTTTAAATGTATCTTCTGACATATACTTCTTTGACTATCATTTCAATATTTCATACGTTTCCTCACATAGTTTTAAACTTATAATAGGAAAATATTTTAAAGTTGGAAGAAGACAAAAGAGGCAAAGAAATTGTCAGTTTTTGAGCCAAGGTCAAATGCTCCGTGTAAAATAACATGGAAATGAGTTCCAAGATCAAGGCTTTACGCATGGTATGGAATTTTTTTCAAAAAAAGTTGATTGCCCAGCTTTCACAGAACTGAAGTGTATAGTAGGAGGTATGCAGAACTCATATATGTATGCATGCATGCATGCACACACAAACATGCATGCTTACAAATACTCACTTGCAAAAGTCCACATTCAAGCATACGCATACACACACATACACACACATACACATACACACACACACACACAAACACCCGCGTATAAGCAAAGACGCATACGAACACTCAAATACAAACATCAACATACAGATAAATTTAAAATCCTATCCTCATACTTTTCTGTAACGCACAAAAAACTACCTTCAAGGAGTACAACCATTGCATCTCGAACTATATATATTGTAGTACAGAGAACGATTACTGAAAAAATCAGCGTACAAATCGGATCTGCTGCTGACCACGCTTCCTACAATTGAAAGAAATTAAAAATCTTCGACCTATAGCTTAATCTATGCAACCTTTGCAAGGTCATTATTATGAAAAAAAAAAAGAGATGGGTGATGAAATTGATGATGTAATTTGTATAAAAAATCGGTAAAACGAGAAGCTCCAGAATAGTGCCAGCATGATCCGTTATATTTTTAGTGTTTGAAACTATCCTGACCATCAAGACCCACTGAACATGAGCATCCTTCAAGTCACTGTTGCGAACGGAGGCCTCTTTTGTAAAGAGGTAGAGACTGGAGGGGGATCGAACCTCTCATTTATGCCATCTCCAGGTCTTTCGAATTCTTTCATGTTGATCCATTACATTACCGGCCCTCGTGCTCCACAAGATAGCTGGAGTCTATTTGTCCTTAAC